TCTATATCATTACATTAATTCACTGAGGAAATGAGAACTGAACCGGGGTTAAATACAAACTGAGGGAATGAGGAAATTAACTACAGCTGATGAGAACACTAATTGGAAAGTACTTACAGGTGTGTGAATACTGAGGAGGGAAACAGCTGAGGAGAAAAGATGAGTAATGATGCAGAAGAGACACGAGGGAGACTACAGATAAAACACAAACCCAACACGACTCCCCTAACCACTCCACCACAGCCGCCCATTATAAAGTAAAGCAAATGGTGGAATAGTCAAGTTTAAACCTACACAAAGACAAATGTTTGCCACACAAACTTGACTCTATTCTAACTGGCAGTTAGCTAAAAATTTCTGTCAGAATTGCATAATATTTTTCAACTTGKTGTTCAAACTAACTATGTACCACCGATATGATTATTATGATATATATTTTTCTGTTGTACAAAACCACTTTATTTTACAAAAAAACTGTAATTGCTTTGTGATTTTTATTATTGTCATTGTAATTTGTTATCTGAGCGCCATTGTTAATAGTGTTATTTTTGTTTTGCTAAGCTTGGTGGAAGGTTTCCAAAATTCATCTCCAGAGACATGGAGGCCATGTACATTGAGGAGCTGCGGTCTTCTGTTAATCTGTTGATGGCAAACTTGGAGAGCATGCCAGTGTCCAAAGGAGGAGAGTTCAAGCTGCAGAAGCTAAAACGAGGCCACAACACATCTATTATGGACATGGGCCAGGAGGATGAGAATATGCTGTCCAAGTCTGATGTTGTGTTGTCCTTCACCCTGGAGGTGAGCATCTATCAAACTCTGAARCATTTATGATTACTACTTTTAAATAGTAATTTATTGCAAACTAAGCAAAATCAAATTTTTCGGGCAGAAGTACTTTTTTCAAACTAGAATGACCATCATAAAGTAGAAAATAGAAATAGAATAGAAAGCATTGTTGCCAAATGCGCGCACGCACGCACGCACACACACACACACACACACACACATGCTATGTTTCTCTATCTAAGTGGGGACTTTCCATTGACTTCCATTTATTTACTGGTCATTTCTATAGCCTAACCCTAACCCCTTACTCTGCAGGGCAGTCCCACAGACTGTTGTTGAGATACCTACARCAGGCTCTGGTCCTTTGAAGTGGACCTTACTGCCATCTTTTGCAAAGTAGTCAGCTTTCTGGTTACCATAAATGCCAGTATGTCCTGGTACMTATTTAACAGTAACTCTCCCCAATTGGTTGACTGCTTTGGCCTGCTTGGCCTGCTTATGTGCAATGGACATAAAACTATATTAAATGGATACCCCAATTTCTCAAATTTTAAATCACTCACTTCTATGGAAAATTTAAAGTTCAAGCTATTCAAAGAATAATCCTGTGAAAGCCTTTCAATTTCAATATACACTAGTTTCTGAAAATTCACCAATGRTCTTATGTGTTACTTTTAACCCCTGGTGACRTAATCTGTTGCACAWATAATTAACAAAAGCACATCTAAGTGAGAAAACWGACACCAGATTCATGACATTTTCCTCTTACATAGTGAAGTAATATACATGTAAGTTTCTCATCTCTGAAATTTTAAACCACACACAGAGTGAGTGGGGTTAAAAACTGGTCCCTGCAGAGTAGAAACTACCAACTTTAATTTTTGTCACCAGGCTTTTCTCTGAATAAGTGTATCCTAAGGTGCATGAAAATGCAAAAGAAGCTGAATAGTGTACTGTATGGTAAACCCATAAAAWATGAAAATTTTCATCTGCTGTTGGAATTGTGACCTTTTGACCCCCTGATGACATCATTGTTTGCATTTTTCTTTAGTGTCATTTAAATTGAAGAGCTCATCAGTATGAATCTGCTGATACCCTGTGTATAAAATTTGGTTGGTTTATAGCAAAGTTATTTGCTGTTAAGATTCCTGTACCCTTAATTCTGATTCAATTCAATTCAAAAATACTTTATTGATCCCAGAGGGAAATTAGGTGTTGTTGTAACTCATTTAACTAAAAACTTATTGTAGATGCTGATGGCTGTGGGCAGGAAAGATCTTCTGTAGAGGTCACAATAGAAAGGGGGTGTGGTCACAAAGTTGTCCCTAGAGGGCAGTGAGACCCAACATTTTTCTGTTAACATATTTTTTTCTGAAAGAGTGGACCCTAGGGTACATGAAAATACCAGAGAAGTTCAACCCACACTATGTACATGCATGGACTATGTACGTTTAAACATGC